TGAAAAGCTCAAACATTTGAAAATAGGAAACAAAAAACAATCATGAGACATCATCTTACCCCAGTAAGAATAGCAAAATTTAACAGAACAGCAAACAACCAATGCTGGTGAGGTTGTGGAGAAACTGGAACCCTTATTCACTGGCGGTGAGAGTTTAAATGGATGGCAGTATAGAGCTTTCGCAAAAAGTTGCAAATAGAAATACCCTGTGACACAGCAATTCCACTACTGGAAAATATCCCAAAGAAACCATAACCGCCACTCAAGCAGATATATGCACATCCATGTCTATTACAGCTTTGTTCACAATAGCAAAGAGTTGGAAACAACCCAAATGCCCATCAACAAATGAATGGATAGAGAAGCTGTGGTATATTCACACAATGCAGTATTACCCTGCATTGAAAAACAAGGAACTCATGAAATATTATACAAAATGGGTGACCATAGAGGACATTATGTTGAGTGAAATATCTCAGTCACAAAAGGACAAATACTGCATAGTGCCACTGTTGTAAAACAGGACTGACATAATGGTTAGGGGGAGACTGAGAAAGATGGGAAAAATTATGTATACTGCATTGAAACAGAGAGGGAGAGAACTGTTTTAAAGAGATAAATATTAGGTATTGTCATGACAGGAGTCCAGAACGAAGGCAGCATAGTGGAGTGGACATGGGAGGAGCAACTGTATAACAACGAAAGAATTTTTCTTTTACTTTTCAAAGGGAAGAGCAAACTGGAAGGGAGGCTGGGCAGGAAGAAAAGTTCAATAATAAATGAATGGAAATCCAAAGTCTCTGTAAACTTTCATTAAAATTAATAATAATAAAAAAAAATTTCAAAATTATTTGAGAATTTTCTATCAACTTATAACTAAAAAATGTTAAATTATTAATTAAATAACAAATGTTATATGTAAAATCCTATATGAATGAACCATTCAATAACAACAGGATAAATAATTCGTAATTATTGAGATTATTAAGGACAAAGCAGACCTTGTCCTATGTAGCATTAGATTTTAAGTAAACAACTATCAGAATTCTTTTTTCTTTAGTTTAAACTTTAATGGGATTGCCTAGTTTTATAAGTAATTATTTCAAATATTATGCTTAAGAGTTAATGTAACTGCAGCTTTATAACAGAAAGTACAGACATTCACAAGTTCAACGCCCTCTGTAAAAAAATACTCACTTTGCTAAGAAACCATTTAAATAATTCGTTCTTCTGAACTTCTTTTTGTTGGAGGAAAGCTTCTGGAATCTTAAATATCTATTAATCCACAGTTTTTAGGACATTTGGCAATCCTGTCAACATCTTTTATGTTAGAAAACCTCTGTTCAAGCGGCAAAAAAAATGTGACCTAAATTATATAACCGATACAACCTGTTTATGCAGGGAAGATCCGTTAACCAGCATAGGTAAGGAAAATGTCAGCCAGGAAAATCACTAAGGACCTAGGTTTATTACACTTCAATTCTTTTACAAAGATCTTAACATATAAAGGTATCTTTTCCCAACTTGTTCTGTTTAGATGATGTTTTTAAAGCAAATACATGATTCACCCAACCTCCACAAATAGAAAGCCCTAACTGAACTTTTTCCTTTAATAAACTAGAATAAGAATTTTCTATACATGGAATATGAGAAAATTCCATCTCAAATTACCGATAATGCCAAAGTAGCTCTCTGTTGCAGTTTTAATTATTTTTTCTGTTCAAAAATTAAGAAAAGCAATGGACACCCACACCAAAAGTATTTTATTTTCAAAAACGTAACAAGTGACTGAAAAGAAAATGTCAATAATGGAATCACTCTTACATTGAACTGAGATATTTTAACAGCTTCAACTCCAGAAATCTTACTACATATGCACAACGAATTTAGCACAGAAGTTCAGAATCCAACACAAAAAAGGGGTAGAAGGCAGGAAGATATCATCTTCTCATAATAAGTAGCTCTTGGTATGAACTTACTTTATCAGAAATACTGATATATAGACAGTATATACTTCACTTTGCACTAACGCATATGCTTGTTGTTTTTGTTATGTGCTGTCCAGTCGCCTGTGACTCACAGACCCTATGTACAAGAGTCCTAAACTCTACCCTATCTTGTGATAATCTCACCATCTCTGACACACCTGCCTCCGTTATTACCCCAGTCACTGAATTACTCCATCTCATCGAGGGTCTTCTTCTCCTGTACTGTCCCTCCACCCTCCCAAGCATGACGTCCCTCTCCAAGGACTGGTCCCTCCTTGCAACATACCCAAAGTATGTCAGATGAAGAATCAGAATCCTTGGCTCCAAGGAGCAGCCCAGCTTCACCCTCTCGGGGAAAAACCTGTTCGTTTTCCTAGCAGTACATGGTATATTCATTACTCTTCTCCAACAACACAGCTCAAAGCCATCAATTCGCCTTCTATCATCCCTAGTCATTGTCTCGCTCTCTGATGCATAGCAAGTGATTCCAAAGACCATGTCATGTATCAGGAGCACCTTAGTCTCCAGCCTGACACAGTTGCACTTCACTTTATAGAGAGGTATCTCACTGCAGACTTTCCCATCGCAATACATTTTACAAGAAACATATACACTAAGTCATACAACAAACATTAATGTTTATATGTTTAGAATTTCACATCTGTCTCCTCTGTAACTTTAATTTTATGGGTAGACAGGTGTCACTATCCTCAGAAAATCTTTAAAAAATTATTTGTGCCCAAACTAGCAGATGTGTCTCACTCCTCTGTTCCTACCAGTAGGAGGTGCAAACAACTCAACCTCATGATAAAAACCTTACTGCCCTCAAGCATGGGAGTAAAGGAATAGGTACAGTGCAATGGAGACTTGAGGAGACAGAGATACAAAAGTAACAGATCAACAGTAATTCATTATAAAAAACACACCACACAAGAAATTATTGTACCAAACAAAATGTGAATGAAACAATTCAAAACAATAATTGTCTAAAAATGAACAACAGTATGAATGAATGAATGAATAAATAAATAATAAAATTAAAGAACGGGGGTTTGGGGTAGGGAGAATATGTGCAACAATGAATTAAAAAAGAACACCTCAACCCTTATTGCCCTCACTTGTCTGTCCCTTCGGCATGGATTCCTCAACGGTAGTCACCATATCTTCCATCATGTTAATTTTTCTAATGGTCAAGTTTGCCACATAGAAGCTACCATGTATTATTAAACGTGTTTACAATAAAAAGGTTTATGTAGTTTATATAATATGTCAGATAATATTTACTCCAAAGGATTTCAGAAATTTTAGTTATTTCAAAACCTAGATGAATTTAGAGTAGTACCTGTCTTTACTAGTCTCCACTTAACCAACTATCTAGAGTGCTACTCCTTAGTATTACAACACATACTGTGTTCACAACAGGTGCTACATGTTTAGCAAAAAGGTTTTGTCTGTTTCCAAAGCAACTGTTTTGGTAAGTAAAGTTAAATAATTTGACATCATGTAAAATAGCAAAATAAATTCAAAAAGTTACACTTCCTAATAAAGTTAAATGATTTGAAAAACAAGATGAAATGCTCTAAACAATTTTTATTGAAGTAGATGTGAGTAAAACTTGGAAAAATTATAAAAATCAAGACAGTCTAAATTTAAGTGTAATTATAAAAATTTTTACTTACAAATTTTAAGTAGGATTTATGAAGAAACTATGAAGAATTATTTTAAGTATGACTTATGAAGAAGCTAGACATCACATCCACAAAGGCTCTAAAGTCCTTTACTAAAATAAAAAATTTAAAAAATGACAAACACATTCTTAGATGTTTTAGATTAAAAATTAAAAAGTTGTTTCCCTTTTTTACCATAAACTTCAAAAAAAACTATTAAACCATTGTGCTTGTCTGCAATTAATAAAGTCCTTTTACTATTACTATAGTTAATGTTTTACAAAATATATTATTATCTTTAAATAAGAAATTCCAAGATATTTCTCTAGCAGTATATATACCCTGCTATTTTGTTTATTACATCCATTAATATATTTCTATGCTTACCAAGGGGAAAAAGAGATTTTGGGTTGAAGGTAATGGGAAAGATCTATTCTGAAAAACAATGTATTCAAACACTGTAAATAAATCAGAATAAAATTTAAAAAATATTTTAAAAAATGCAATACAAAAAACAGTAGGGGAGGAAAAAAAGGATTGAGCAAACTGAGAGACACTAAACAACGCATCATATATTTGCTCTATATTTTAAAAGATTTTATCTCTAAAAGTACATTATGTTGTAAAAAAGACTTGTCCTTCAATTTAAGAGTGAATATACCACCTAAAAATCAATTTTAGTTTAACAAAACTAAAATGTTGTTGTTGTTAAGTGCTGTCGAGTCGCAGGTGACTCATAGCGACCCTATGAAGCAGAGTCCTCGACACTTGGGTGCCTTTCATCCTCTCTCCAGGTTCACAGGGTTTCTGGAGGCAAGCTATTATGAAAATGGATGCCATTCCTCCTTCCAAGCTTGTTTTAATCTGGGAGCTCCACCCCACTCTCTGTCTGCATTGAGTAACCAACCATTAATGCATTTGACACATCAGTGTCACAGTGTTTAGCCTCACAGCAACCACAAGTGACCGCTGGTATGGCAACTTGTACACCAGGGCTATAGGACCTAGAGGAATGTCTGAACAAAAACAATGAAAGAAAGGCCCGAGGGCTGTGGATTAAAAGTCACCCACCTTTGGCTTGGTAGCATCGCTTTCTGTCCACTGGGTCAACTAAAATACAAAGCTATTATTTTCAAACATTGACGAGTAAGTTGGTTTATCCAAGCTCTTAAAATACTTTAACTATCACCACACCAACAACTTAAAGAATGGGGGATAAGGGTGCAACAATGAATGAATGGAATTCCAAAATCTCTGTAGATGTTCATTGAAATGAAAAAGAAACAAACTAAATTAAAAAAAGAAAAAGAATGAGAGATGGAGAAAAAGCAAAGGACAGTTTTACCTTTCGATTCTGATCATAAGCCGAATCCATTCCCAATATACTATTCACTTCTACATAGGGATATTTCTTCTCCAGGACACTGACCACATGCTCAACTTTAACCTTTTCTCCAGTCTTCACCTTATTATATATCTGAAAAATAAAATTCAGCTAAAGAATTGCAGTCGTCCCCCCCCCCAGTAATTCAGTCTTCCTCTAAAAAAGTGTGTCAAAGTATATGACTCTCATCCACAAGGTATATATGAATAACATTTAAAATGGAGGCCTTATTCTATTCTATTTATTAAAGTCTTTTAGTGTACTGTACCAGCGCTATATTGGAGTTTTTTTTTTAAATAAAATTCACATTTTTTTTATTCTTTCAAATTGTTTGCTATATATAAAAGAAGCTCACTGCAAAATGCTTCCAAGAAAAAAAGGAAATAAAAGAAATTCAGAGCTTCCTAGAAATGTACAGCTTTTACATTTTAAAGAAGATTCTGAAATATACATACACACATGCTGGCTCTATCTGCTCTCCCCTCTTTCTCATTTCCAACCATGGTAAGAGTTCATATTTCTACAGAATTTCCAAAACTAAAAACAATTTTAAAACTGACTTCTGACTCTGTAGCAAATTCAGGGCTTGTACATTTCAGATTCATTTAGTTTTAACCCACAAGTAAAATAATGCATATTTAAGGAAAATATTATACAGGATTTTTCACACAGAAGTATATAAGAGTTTTTAAATCTACTGCCATTTATTTTTGCATAAAAACATATAAATATGTCACCAGTTGTTTTTTTTTTAACTTAAAAACATAAATAAAATTAGGTATTATTGTCATGACAGGAGTCCAGAACAAGAGCAGCATAGTGGAGTGGACTTGAGGGGAGGAATTGTATAACAAGGAAAGAATTTTTCTTTTGCTTTTCAAAGAGAAGAGCGAACTGGGTGGGAGAGTTTGGGCAGGGAGAAAAGTGTAACAATGAATGGATGGAAATCCAAAGTCTCTGTAAACTTTTATTAAAATTAATTTAAAAATAACAAACAAATAAGAGACACTATATGAAACTACCCTTTGCAGACTTCTTTTATATTTTAGGGGGTTTGTACTAAATTTCAGTAGGCATGGTTTGTTGTTTTGGTTTAGGTTTAATTTTTTGCTTAGAATTGGGTTTCTGGCAAAGAAAGGCCCCTGCATTAAAAATAGTCCATTTTTAAAAAAAATTTAGTTTTAAAAACAAATTTAGTATTTTTTTATTATAAAATAATTCTGAGTATAGAGGAAAATAGTTATTTTCCTTAAAAGGTCAAGCAGGACAAGTTAATAATTTCCTATTTTCATATATCTCCTTGAGATTACTTCTCACACTAGAAAAATAAAAATTTCTTAAAATAACTCAATTGATAGTCACATTATATAAAAAATGTGAATATGCATTAAAGAAACATCAGAGTACTTACTAGAAATCCTTGAAATAAAAACATACATATATGTTTAGGGATGTTTATGAAGTTGCAAAATACATTTGGCATAATCCCTATCTAAAAAACAATAACAAAACATCTGCATATGCAATTACACATACAGAAGAATACAATATTTAAAAAAATATAAGCTATCTGTAGGAGAATTAGAGAAAGAAACGGGGAGCCAGATTACAGGTTAAATTTAAATACTTCAATACTAACTTTGTATGAAGAACAAGGAACTCAGTATTATACAACATGGGTGACCTTGGAGGACATTATGCTGAGTGAAATATCTCAGTCATAAAAGGACAAATACTGCATAAGACCATTTTGATAAAACATGACTGACATGGGGGTTGAGAGGAAACTGAAAAAAAGAGAGGATAAATAGTGAGCATTGCATTTGAACAGATGAAGGAAAAAACTGTGTAAAAGGAATATATGATTACCCATTAATTATATGACAACAGTCCAAAACAGGAGATGTATAACAAAGTAGAAGGAGGAGGGATTGGGGCACGTGAGGAAGAAATTAGTGAACTGGGGAGGGGAGAGGTAGGAAGGAAAATGTGCAACAATGAATGAATCAAAAACTAACTTTTCCATAAGCCTTTGTTAAAATGACAATTAAAAAATACTTTCTAAAATAACATTCATATTCTAGATTAGGCTGAAAGATAAAAACTTGTCAAGGGTTTCTCTCCTTCTTCAAGAAAACAGACACATCTCTGAGAGGGGAAAAACACTTCTTTAAAAACACATTTCAAAAACCATCCTTGACAAGTTCTTCCAAACCTCTACCCACAGCACTGTTGCTAATCACCTTTGCCACATTTCTGAGTGAGAATCATCTCTACCACTCATGAACTAAAATTCCTTCCCCTTTCTTGACCATTCATCTCTTTAATCCTTCAAACACGCCATCTGAAGAAATTCTTTTCACACAAATATGAGCCCTGCTCTCTGTAACTTTGTACTCAAAGTTGTCTGGCATTCCATGCCCCCCCAAAATAGGCTCCTACACTTCTATTTTCAATAGTCCTACTAACATCATTGAGTCAATTGTTGATGCCCATTTTTACTCCTAGATACCACAAGAACAATTTAATGCTTTAGAGAAACAGCTACGAACATCTCCAAAGAGAGGGAGGTCCTTGTACTGATACAGCTGTCTGTACTTTCCATTGTTAATACTTATTCCCATACTCCATAAATCAACTGTATGAGATTCTCCCACGAGTCTTTAAGGACAGGAGTGAAGAATTATAATTCCTTATAAGTGGCACAGTTATAACTAAATCTAGAACATGGCAAGATTCTATTAAGCATTAAATTAATAAACCAAGGCACATTTTCATTAACAAAAATGCCCTTAATTGGATACCCAAACAATAAACTCAAGATAATTACCAGGATAGAAACAAGATCCATTCATAATTGTGTATTTAAGAATTTGTATGCGAGCTCTGGTGGCCTAGTGGCAAGAAGCTACACTGCAATCCCAGAGGTGTGCGGTTCAAATCCATCAGATGCTTTGCTAGGGAAGGAGGAACTATCTCCTCTTGTACCAATCAAATCTGATTTGACGGTACACACACACATACACACACAAAATAATAAAAATTTAAAAATTTTAAAAAAATTAATTTGTACATAAAAAACCCCCAATCACATTTGTACATCAGTCAAACTAGTATATATAGTGCTTGATAAGTCATAATTTGGTGTAAGAATAGGATTACAACTTTTTCAATATAAGTGCAGCAAGTGCAGGTCAAACATATATATTTCATGCAGAAAAATTTGTTTCCAGTAGGTGTTGGGTTAATAATTTCAAAATGAAAAGAAATTTACATGACATTAAATCAAGGCTAGATAGTAATGTCCCTGCTCAGGAATGTTGCTGCTGCTGCTGTTGTTACTGTTACCTACTACAGAATCTGAACTAACACACAGCTTCCCCCTCCAGGAGGTTTTCAGAGACAGGAAATCACATTGGAGAAGAAGACCCATCCTTCTCCTACAGACCTGCTGACTGAATCAAACCATGGACCTTTGTGTTACCAGTATAACTCCTTACCAGGAATAACTTCCTAATAACCAGTATAACTTCCTTACTAGGAAACCAGAGTTCAAAAAACAGAGGTCAATAGCAAAAAGGGACATCTATGTTTATTGCAGCATTATTCACAACACCAAAGAAATGGAAGCAACCCTAGTGCCCATAAATAAACGAATGAATATAAAAACTATGGTATATTACACAGCACTGAAAAACAATGAAATAGTAAAACATTACACAACATGGGGGAGCCTTGAAGACATTATTCTAAGGGAAATATCTCCATCACAAAAGGATAAATACTGCACAACACCACTGTTATAAAATAGGACTGACATGGGGTCTTTAGAAAGGGAATGGGGAAAGAGTGGGTAGATAGGAACACTGCATTAGAATATATGAGGGGGAAGAATGGAAAGGAATATATGATATGCATTACAGGTATCAAAACAATCTGCAACAAAGTGGGTTCGGGAGAGGGAGGGGTGGGAAGAAAAGGCTCAACAATGAAGAAATTTAAAAATAAATAAAAAAAGAATAAAGTAAAAAGTACCTCTTTGCACGTGAATGTATCACTAATCAAAATCCTGAAAATTCCCCAAACACACAAATCAAACTCCTGAAAGAACTCACTGTACATGCTTCTTCCAAGTTTCCACTTTTAGGAATTCAACCTATCATTTCTTGCATTTTGATTATCAAATCACCCAAATTGTGAAAATTCAGGTTTGATCCTGTTTGGCTTTACCAGCCATGGCAGCACCAAAGCCAGCAGGTATTGTCTCTAAGTGAGAACTTCATAAGTGCAGGGAAGATCTGTATATTTAATAAACAGATTTAAGGGTAAAATCAACAGTGTTAAAGATGACTTTTTAAATACTTACTACTGACCAATAAACAAAAGAACTGTTACTCATAACATACAGTATGTTTAAAATAGAAAACAAACAGAAAATCAAGAAAAGTCCTCTTTTGAATGTGATGCATAAACTTAGATATACAAACTAGAGTCTTAAATGGAAAACCGAAGATCTCAGTAAAAATCTTCTGGCTTCATATGAACGCGCTGATCAAACTATCAATTGGTAATCATAAATCACCAAAAATCTTAGAAGATATTTAAAAAGCCATAGTAGGTATTCTGAGAAATCTTAGTCAAAATCATAGCAATCAGTGAGGTAACCATAAAAATGCTCCTCTAAGCACAGACTGGTTTTTAAGAGTAAATAAGAATTAAAAACTCATTTGCCATTTTAAATGAGAACATACATGTGTCAGAGTTTGGAATGCATGATAATCATCCAAGTCCTGGGAAACATAATTATATGCTCTAAGAACAGCCACTCCAGCATCCTGAATCCCATCAACATCTTCAGAGTCATTAACCACAAAGATTAAGCCAATTCTGGGGAGGAGAAAAAAAGAGCAAAAAACTTATTCCAAAGATTGTATCCTGTCAAAAGGAATGGCATTCACATAGTCACCTAAACATTGTAACTACTAGAGAAAAATTACCCTTTATAGAAAGCAAAGTTTATCTGATTCTTGCACATTTAACACACACATCACTTATAAGATAAATATCAAGATCTCATGTGTACTGTTAAATTAAGCTACAAGGCCATCATAAATACATTCTTTCACCAATATGAAGAATTTATTATAGTTTTAGGTGGAGGGGTTGTACTGTTTCTAAAAAATTATTATATAACATTGTAGGGGAAATGAGAATTTGGAGTCTATAAAAATAAACAGGAAAGGGGGCTACTTTGAAATCCTATTCTAACAGGTGAAAAATTAATAAAAAATAGAAATCAGGAAAATATTTACTGGTATCTTTTAGGGGGGAAAATCCTATACTTATGAATAAACTATTAAAACTTAATGGACTAAACTATAAACCAGTTAGGTCAAGTGGACAAATTGTAAACTAATTGTTTTAAGTTCTTCTGCATCTTTGTTAAATTTCTTTTTTTGTCCTGTTCTGTCCTCTACGTACTTTGGGCATGTTGTCAGGAAGGGCTAGTCCTTAAAAAAAGATAACAAGCTTGGGAAGGGGGAGAGTCAACAAAAATGTGGAAGAGCCTCAACAAGATGTACTGACACAGTTAACTAGCAATTGATTTGAGTATATCAAGGATGGTGAGGATGGTGTAGGTTAAGGTAGGGTTGAGATGCACTGTTAACAAACAAACACCACCACGATTAACAAAGGGTGCACTGGTGGCTTAGTGGTAAGAATGTGCACTGCAGGCAGGGCATCAGCTGCCCCACAGGGAGAAGTTTTCTCCCATGCAATTAACTGCCACTGAAAACCTACTGAAGGGTCAGCTATGAGCTGGTTCTGACTACACAGTACATTAACTACTAATGTGGAGCTTTCTTCAAATCTGTTATTTTTATTTAATTTTCTAGTCTATCTATGATTAAGTGCACAGATATTCTGCTTAGTCCTTTTTTGTTCTGTTGTTGCTATGTGCTGTCGAGTCGCCTGCGACTCATAGTGACCCTCTGTAAAACAGCCCTATACCCTGCCCTATCCTGGGCCAATCTCACCATCCCCATTACACACCTATAGCCATTACCCCAGTCACTCAATCCATCCATCTCATGGAGGGTCTTCCTCTCCTGAACTGTACTTCCACCCTCCCAAGCATGATATCCCTCTCTAAGGACTGGTCTCTCCTTGCAACATGCCCAAAGTATATCAGATGAGGCTTCAGAATCCTTGCCTGCAAGGAACAGCTTGGTTTCACCCTCTCCAGGACAAACCTGTTCGTTTTCCTAGCAGTCCATGGTACCCTCAATACTAATCTCCAAAATCACAGCTCAAAGGCATCAATTCTCCTTCTATCATCCTTAGTCATTGTCCAGCTCTCTGATCCATAGCAAGTGATTGCAAAGATTATGGCATGTATCAGGTACATCTTAGTCTTCAGACTGACATCACTGCACTTCAGTACTTTAGAGAGGTCTCTAATAGAAGACTTTCCCATCGCAATACATCTTTCAATTTCCTGCCTGCTAGTGCCAAGAGTGTTGACTGTGGAGCCAAGCAAACCCAAACTGTGAACAATCTCAATCGCTTCACCATCCCTTAATTTGCTGTCAATCAGCCCAGTGGTGAGAATCTTTGTTTTCTTGATATTGACACTCAAACCATACTGAAGACTGCAGTCCCTGAACTTCCACAGCAAGTGGTTCAGGTCCTCCTCAGTTTCAGCAAGCAGGGTTGTGTCACTGCATAATGCAGATTGTTGATGATTCTTCCTCCAATCCTGATGCCACATTTCTCTTAACTTGGGAACCCAGACTCCCAGATAACCTGTTCTGCATAAAGATTGAAAAGATATGGAGACAGGATGCAGCCCTGACATATACCCCAATTTTCAACTATGCAGTGTTTCCCTGCTCTGATCTGACGACTACCTCCTGATCCAAGCAGAGGTTTCGCATGGTTATGAGATTCCCATTCTTCTCAGAGTTAGCCACAGTTTGTTATGATCCACACAGTAAAATGCCTTTACGTAATCAATGAAACAAAGACAGACATTCTTCTGGCACTCCTTGCTTTCAGCCAAGATCCATCTAATATTGGCTACAATATCCCTAGTACCAACGACCCCTTCTAAAGCCAGCCTGCACTTCTGGTAGTTCTCTGCTGATGTGTTGTTCCAGTCATTTTTTGGATAATCTTTAGGAAAATCTTGCTCGCATGTGATATTAATGATATTGTTGGATAATTTCCACACTCTGTGGGATCACCTTTCTTTGGAATGGGAACAAATACAGTTCTCTTCCTATCAGTTGGCCAAGTGCTTGTTCTCCAAATTTCTTGGCACAACTTGGTGAGCATGTCTAGGGCAGCATCTGTTATGTCAATCAGTACACCATCAATGCCTCGGGCCTTATTCTTAGCCAATTCTTTCAAAGCATTCTAAACTTCTTCATCACCGTAGCCTCTTGCTCATATGTTGTTTCATGAAATTCTTCTGTGTCTGCCAATTCCTTTAGATACAGTGACTTTGTATACTCTTTCCATCTTCTTTTAACACATTGTCACAAATGACAGTAATACATTGGGGGAAAAATGTGTTTCTAAGCACAGTCGTTAATTTAAAAGTGTGCGGCAATTTGTAAATACTTGCAGGATCACTCAATCAATATTCTGCCCAAAGCATTTTTTGTTCTATTGACCCTTTAATCATTATTGTGGAAGATTCATCAACAACCTGCGTTATGCAGACAACACAACCCTGCTTGCTGAAACTGAGGAAGACCTGAAGCACTTGCTGCAGAAGGTCAAGGACTGTAGTCTTCAATATGGATTGAAGCTCAGCATCAAGAAAGCAAAGATTTTCACCATGGGGCCAATTGGCTGCATCATTATGGATGGTGAAGAGATTGAGATTGTTAACAGTTTTAGTTTGCCTGGCTCCATAATCAACACTCTTAATACCAGCAGCCAGGAAATCAAGAGATGAATTGCATTGGGAAAGTCAGCTATCAGGGACCCCTCCAAAGTACTGAAGAGCAACAATGTCAGGCTGGACTCTAAGGTACACCTGATCCAGGCCATAGTCTTTGCAATTGCGTGCTACGTGTTGGAGAGCTAACAGTGACTAGGGATGGTAGAAAGAGAATTGATGACTTTGAGCTGTGGTGCTGGAGAAGAGAGTTAAACATACCATGGACTGCTGGGTTTGTTCTGGTGAGGGTGAATCCGGGCTGCTCCTTGGAGGCAAGGATTCTGAAGGTTTACCTGACATTCTTCAGGCATGATGCAAGGAGTAACAGTCCTTGGAGAAGACATCATATTTGGGAGCGTGGAGGGACAGCTCAAGAGAGATGAGATGAATCGATTCAGTGATGAGGGTAATGATAGTAGGTGTGTCAGAGACAGTGAGGTTGGCACAGGATAAAGCAGGGTTTAGGGCTCTTATACATAAGGTCGCTATGAGTCGCAAGTGACTCGATGGCATATAACAACAACATATAATGATATAAGTAAAGTGTTTCACATTAATGTAGTCATTTTCTGAGGGAGTGTGTTGTGTCAATTGACACGGATGTCCATCCAATGACTTACTTGGATCAAGTGCTTAACAAAAAGTATATAATTTTGAAAATAAAGTATTATATTTTTATGAAGCTGTTAAGAGATATGCACCTACACATATACACAAATTCTCATTCCATCAGGTCATCTATGACAATGGCAATCTTAATTAAAAGAAAATGAAATGTTACCAATCCCATGCCATTTTCATAATTATATATTACTGCAGTTATGTGCTAATCATCTTATTAAGGGTGATCCTCGTTTTCATAGGTCTTCACTACACCAAACATGATCTTCTTCTCTAGAGGTAGGTCTAAAGTCTCCTCACTCTCCCATTTGACAAAAATGATGCTTAGGGAGTGCCTTTATATGTGTACATGTCTTACATTAAAATTAATATACCTCTTAAATAACTCAAGAAGAAAATATAGACATATACAGACCAAATTGTTTATATCATTTTGCCCTGAAGAAGTATAAGTAAATATAAATAAAAAATAAAAAAAAAGAAAAAAGTTTACTTTGTTCTAAAATTCCACTATGTCACAAATCATCAACAAGCTCCATTAAGGAACTATCAAAATGTTTTTCTTAGGGGGAAAAATACTCTCTAAAATTTTAAAAAGTGAAACTTTTCCTAGAATCTGACTCCTATAAATAAATTCTTCATCCTAAGTTTCCAAATTCTACAAAGTTCCTCCAAGGTTGTCTGTTTCTGAAATGGAAACTTGAGACTTTTCCTTTGTGCCACTCCTAAACCTCCTCATTAGCCATTATGGACTCTCACAGACCTGTCTCTTATCTTAATGCATAATCAAATCAGCTTCAACAGAATAAAATTAAAAATTATCTGTCTTATGACTCCTTAGTAGTGTCTCATAAAAAGTCTTTTCATTATCTACAAACTTTCCTTCTCTGATTACAAGTGCATATAACCTGGCACTTCAGTAAATATCTAAACTGTTTTGAAATATGTAAAATAATTTTCTAAAAGGATATATTGTAATGAAAACAATTTTAAAAAAGGATATATTGTACTATATACTACTGACAAGAGGTCATTGATGAATCTCACAATAATATTTGTTAGCTAAACTCTGCAATATGTTACGTGTTGTGGTGGCTCAAATCCACCAAAGGCTCCATGAGAGGGACACAGGCAGTATCTTCTCATAAACATTAACACTTCTGGGCACTTAATGGAGGATCACTATAGAAGAAATCAACTCAATGACAATGAGTAAATACTTCATCAATTAAGAAGTCAAACTGTTGCTTTAGGCTAATTTGTAGCAAAGAAAACCCTTTAAAGAGTTAAAAATGAAAACATGAAACAAACTGAAAGCACAGCTGTTGTTGCTGAGTAGTTTAGGTGGAACAGAGCTACAGCTGGCCCTCCAGTGGGTTTTAATAGGAAATAAATCCCAGGGAAAGAGACTGCCCATCTTTCTCTCACAGAGTAACTAACTGGAAGATTCGAACCACATACCTTTAAGTTGACAGAGCAACTCCTTACCACTAGGCTACCAGAGCGCCCTATAGTATGTACAGTATAATACAACCCATGGTCAATAATTGTATGCCTCTTTCCATTCAGTAAAACTGTATAAAAGAGATATGTGATTAGGTTTTATTGTTATGACAGGAGTCCAGAACGAAGGCTGCATAGTGGAGTGGACGTGGAGGGGAGCGATTGTATAACAATGAAAGAATTTTTCTTTTACTTTTCAAAGAGAAGAGTGAATTGGGGCGGGGTGGGGGGGAACGGACAGGGAGAAAAGTGCAACAGTGAATGAATGGAAATCCAAAGTCTCTGTAAATTTTCATTAAAGTTAACAATAATAATGAAATCAAACTTAAAAAAATAATTATTAACTGCAAAAAAATTCAGAAGTCATGCTGAGCTAGTTGCCATTACTAATCCCTACAGTTAATTATCCTACAATTCAAGAAGTACGAGATTTACAAATAGGAATAATAAAACTTCACTTAAACTAGAGATAATAAAAAAAAATCAATACCACTGTTACCTTAATGGTATATGATTACTGAGGAACAATTCAGCTATATTAATCAGCTCTGCTGTGGTCTCATGAACAGGATCAACTATAAAAACCTGGTAGGGAAAACAGAAAAGAATAAATCAAATGATATTTCAAATGTCACTTGGCCAGTAAAAATGCCATTGATCTCTGTAATTGAAGGCAAACTTTTTCTGAATACTCTGGAACCACATAAAAGAAGAGTTAAATAATATGCAATTATCTCCCTTTCATGTTTACAATATGGCATGGATAGGCTAAGAGTAATAAACTTATGTTGATAATTCAGGAGTGTCCCACACTGCTAACATTATGAAGGGGGCAAAAAACAAAATCCAAATAAAACAGGAAAAGCCCACAATAAACACTCATACCACAGAAAATGGGCATTACTAATTTCTTAACAAATCTAAATATAAAAACTAATCAAATACAAATGTAGTGAAGTTACAAATGATAATGATCTGATGAAACCATCGGCATGATGCATGGTCGGCTTGGGGAGTAGAGGACCGGGGCAAGAGGTGGCAGGGGGTGAGGGGTGGGGGGTGGAGAAAGGAAGCGCAATGTGTTTTCAACTGTTTGAAAAACATAGTTCGGTTCCATGGTGCCAAATCTGTGTTTACCGACCAAATGCTTCATCAAAACTCCACTTCTGGCCTTGTTTTGGAATCAGTTGTTTCTGCTGCCACTTCCAGATCCCCTGGAACCTGCCTCAACCGCCTTCCTTCAGCCGCCTGGAGACACTAAATCCTTCCTGAGGTCTCTCTAGCTCTGGCTGTGCAGTGATCACAGAAATCAGCCAGCAACAATGTCATGGCATTTTTCCATTATTTTCATTGTTACTACTGCTGTAGGGACATGAACACAACCACCCAGTTTTCCTTTGAGGAAGACACTCCTTCACTTTGGAATGAGTGTGTTTGCCTAGCTACTCTTTAAACTCTTTACAAGCACAGCTGATATTTGGCATTTCAACTGAACACTTTAAGACCATGGTTACAAGTCCGCATCCAAGCTGGGATCAATGAGTGCTGCTGGTTGACTGCTATGACTCCTGAATGTGGGCCATGGCTAGCACCAGGGCTTCAACAGCTTCATTCTCCTTGATATGTTTCTCAGTTGACTGCTTGAAGTGATTTATGGTAGTGAGAGGGACAGAGGGCAAATATCTGATGGCATTTTTGCTGCAAGTTTATATTATAATGTTGTTGTTAAGTGCCATTGAGTTGGAACCAAATCATAGGTGATGAGCCTCCAGAAGGTGTTCAGAGGCTGTAAATCACAAAGCAGGAGACTGCCCATCTTTCTTTAAGGCAACTGTTTACACAACTCCTTACTCACTAACCCACCACAATTCAATAATGCAGTAATAGCTATCACTTCCTGAACATTTATTCAGTAAAAAACAATTTATATTATCACTGGCAGAATGGGCAAATGGTAAGAAAGAAATTAAAATGGGCAAAGTGAGAGTTTATTTTGCGTATTTTATAGAAGCAGACCCTGGTACTATCTTACCATCTATCTTTTTAATAGCTGTGTGACGAAAGAAAAAAGGAAGAAAGTGAAATGTAAAACAAAGTACAAACACAAAATAAGAACCTCGTTTTCTCTATAAATAAATATCAAGTTGACAAAGTTCTCCTTAATTTAACTATCTGGAGTCAAGTAATTTCAGCTTGTGTCACCCTCAATGTCTATATACACACATGACTGCAGTCTTAAATTATGCAACCTTGTGCATCTTCTTCAAACTGGAGCTTCTGTGGTGAGTCTGGCCTCACAAAGATTTTAAATGAAGCACAATCAATAAATGAGACATTCTTTTGCTGTTATTCACCATCAAATCCTCTATGACTTCACAGACAGAAACTTTCCTCAATTTTGCATAATCTCACACTCTCCACAGATAATTATAGCAGTCAGCATGCTAACTAGTCTCACTGAGGGACTTCTTTTCGAAACATCATGTGTTTTCCCAAGGCTTGGTACAACTTGAAAACATGCTCATAGGCTGTGAGAAGACATTTAACCAACTGCATCTCAAAATAGCACTCCTGTTACACTTCCTTCGGGACAGATTTCTTTTTTCTTCTTCTGGAAGTCCATAGGACAAGCAATAAACTTCACCAACAGCAAAATTCAAAGGCAGCAATGAAAGGATAAATCCCACAGACACACCCCGAATTTAGAGCTTACAGTGTTACTTTGATCTAGGTATAGGTTTGGCATGAGCACAATTAAGTGCTCTAAGATTGCCATTCTTCTCAAAGGTAGCCATAGTTTGTTATGATCCACACAGTCAAATTCCTTTGCATAGACAATAAAACACAAATAGACACTCTTCTGGTATTCTCTCCTTTCAGTCAGGATCGATCTGACACAAGCAATGATATCCTTAGTGCCATGGATTTTTCTAAATCCAGAATAAACTTCTGACAGTTCCCTGTAATGTACAGTTATGGCCATTTTTCTTGGAGGATCTTCAGCGATATTTTACATCCATGTGATATTAATGATATTGTTCAAAAATATCCACATTCTTTTTTATTACATTTATAGGGAATGGAAACAAATATGGATTCCTTCCAGTCAATTGGCCAGGTATTCCAAATTTCCTGACATGGACAGGTGAACACATCTAGGGCTGCATCTGCAAAGGTGGCCATCTGCCTTTACTTATTAGTTACTGCTATTTATTAATTATTTAACAGTTGTTGTTGGTAAGTGCCAGTCATGGATGACTCATAGTGACCCATGAATGAAAGACCTGAATACTTGTATAACTTTAGTCATTTCTCCATGTTCACAGAGTCTCCAGAGGGAAGTCAATTTGGAAGTGGATGCCAACTCCTCCTTTCAAATTACTTACTACTATTTATTAATTAGAATAGCAAATTTAAGCAATTAAAAGAGCAATGAAAACAGGAATATGCATTTTCAGAGGAAAAAGAAGATTCATATTATAACAAAACAAGCAGAATCTGAACTTTCACAACAAAGATTATGAATATACCGATAAGTTATAAAGCTGCTTCTCACAGCCTTGAATATCATTCATTTCCCCTTTGTGAATAAAAGTTTAAATTCAGAACTAAAAAATAATAAAAATATTTTAAAAACAATTTACTATTGGCAGTGATGGAAGGGATGGCCTAATAAAGTACAGAAGAGAACATTCTGGGGTTTTTGCTGTTAGATGTCACCAGGTTGGTTCCAACTCACAGCAACTAAACAATCAATAGAAGAAAACACCCAGTTCTCCACCATCCGCAAAATCATTGCTATTTCAGCCCAGTGTGGAACTCAATGGGTCAATCCATCTTAGAGAGTTTTCGGTCTGACAGACCTTATCCTCTAACAAGCATGTATCATTGTCCAGGGAAGAGCCTCTGCTAAGAGTATGTCCATAGTGTATAAAACGAAGTCTCAAATTTTTCACTTTTAAGGAGAATTCTGGCAGTATTTTAATCAAGAAAGATTTGCTTCTTCTGGTAGTTTATCAACACCATAATTCAAATGAATCAACTCTTAGTTTTTATGCATTCATTCTACAACTCTCATATGCTTATAAGGCAACTAAAACCACCGTCAGCTACACCTTAATCCAGAAAATGGCATTTTTGCTTTTTAACACCTTAAAGAGGTCCTGGATAAAGAAGTTCAATGCAAAATGTCTTTTGATTTCGTGACTGCTGCTTCTAAAAGCATTTAATGTGGATTCAAAGAAATTAAATTCATGACGTCAGTTTTTCTCAATTTATCATGGTTTTATAATTGGTATGTTTGTGAAGATTTGTTTTCTTATGCCACACTAAGGGCTATACCAGTAAGTTGAAGTTGTTTTCCCATTCAACAAGTAAGATATGTCATCTAGATGTTAATAAGGGTTCCTCCAATACTGATGTTACATTCTTCTCCAAGTGGTCCTAGTGTCCTCATCTGACAGACTGGACAATTATTGTGAAAAGATACAATCCTGATGTTAAACTATACAATATCTATTTGGTCTTTTTACTCTATCAGATAATTTTCTGCTGCTACTGATAAAATATGTACTGGTCCCCATCAACAAACGAATGGATAGAGAAGCTCTGGTATATTCACACAATGGAATACTATGCGGCATTAAAAAACAAGGAACTAATGAAATATTATGCAAAATGGGAAACGCTGGAGGACACGATGCTGAGTGAAATATCTCAGTCACAAAAGGACAAATAATGCATAGGGCCACTGTTGTAAAACACAACAGACATCAGGATTGAGGAAAGACAGAAAAAGAGGGGAGGAATGATGTATATTAAATTGAAACAGATGATGGCGACAACTGTTTAAAAGGGATATAGAACGGGTATTCTTGTCATTACAGAGTCCACAGTGAAGGCTGAATAGTGGAATGAACTTAAGGGGGAGAAACAGCATAACAATGAAAGAGTCTTTCTTTTCAAGGACAAGAGTGAATTGGGGGGGGGAAGGGAGAAAAGTGGAACAATGAATGACTGGAAACTTTAACTCTGCAAACTTTCGTGAAAACTAATTTTTAAAAAATTTTTTTAAGAATGTACTGACCACATTTTTCAAAAGTATATATAGTCAATTCCTCATAATAGTCTCCTTTAATCTTGTAAGTTTTTCTAAAACCTATCCACCTGGGTGCCCTGTTTATATTTGAAATATTAGTAGCATAGCTACCAGCATCACAGAAACATGCAAGACACAAAGTCTAACAAACTGACAGATGAACAGTGGGTAAATATTCTAACCACAAGTAAAAGGGAGGAAAGAGAACCAAAAAAAAGAAAGTTCACATGCAAAAACCAGAAAGTTTTACTTACCATGTTATGCAAGTTTTTCCTGATCTGCCTGATAACACCAGGAAAGGTGGGTCGTAGCAATTCTTGCAAACTAGAAGGCCAGGAATCATATCTGCTATCAATCTCCAGGTTGTTAATCCACTACAGAACAAACACATCATGGTACATACCTTTTAGTGAATTACATAAGAAAATTTCTGCAAAATTTATGATAAACCATTTACATACTTGATACACAAATCAAGGATAAAAATAAATGTGTAAAGTAGAATACACATAACAGAAGATATCTGAAACCTAGTCAAGCACACTAATGACTGATGTCCACAATGAATAAAGAAACCTTACACATTAACACAAAGATGAATATCCTGTTAAGTACACTAAAAGTACGATGAGGAAATGTATATAAGAGACTCAAATAGGTAACAAATCAAAAGAAAAATAATCTAATAATATGAGACACCTAAACTAAAGGTAGCAGCAGAAGTTTTTCACAAAACAACTATGAGATATCATCTTACCCCAGTCAAAATAGCAAAATTTAACAGAACATCAAGCAACAAATGCTGGCAAGACTGTGGAGAAACTGGAATCCTTATTCACCATTGGTGGGAGTGTAAAATGGTACAACCACTATGTAAGGCGGAATGGCGCTTTCTCAAAAAGTTGCAAATAGAAGGGGAGCTCTGGTGGCCTAGTGGCAAGGAACTGCAACTACAATCCCAGAGGCGCACGGTTCGAACCCACCAGATGCTCTGCCAGGGAAGGAGGGACAATCTCCTCCTGTACCAGTCAGATCTGATTTGACAGTACACGCACACACAAAAATAATAATAATAAAAATTTAGGGGAAAAAAAGCTGCAAATAGAGATACCATTTGACCCAGTAATTCCACTACTGGGAATATACCCCAGAGAGATCATAACTGACATCCAAGCAGATATATGCACAACCATGTTTATTGCAGCTTTGTTCGCAATAGCAAGGAGTTGGAAACAACTAAGCGCCTGTCCACAAATGAATGGATAGAGAAGCCATGCTATAGTCACACAATGGAATACTACACTGCACTGAAAAACAAGAAACTCATGCAGTATTATTCAAAATGGGTGAGCCTGGAGGACATTATGCTGGGTGAAATATCTCAGTCACAAAAGGACAAACACTGCATAGGGCCACTGCTGTAGAATGGGACTGACATCAGGGTTAGGGTTGTTGTTGTTGTTATGTGCCGTCAAGTCGTTTGCGACTCATAGCGACCCTATGTACAACAGTGCTCTATCCCGTGCCAATCTCATTGCCTCTGACACACCCATCCCGATTACCCCAACCTACACTTGGACCAAGAGGCAGTCGTCAGAATAGAGCAAGGCAACACTGCATGGTTCAAAATTGGGAAGGGTGTACGCCAGGGATGTGTCATATCTCCATACCTTTTCAACCTGTATGCAGAGCAGATTATCCGAGAGGCTGGGCTCTATGAGGAGAAGCATGGCATTAGGATTGGTGGACGATCTATCAACAATCTGCATTATGCAGATGACACAACTTTGCTCGCTGAAACTGAGGAGGACCTCATGCACTTACTGGAGAGGGTCAGGCTCAATGTCAAGAAGACAAAAATTCTCACCACCGGACCAATCGGTAGCATCAGGATGGATGGTGAAGAGATTGAGAGTGTTCACAGCTTCAGTTTGCTCGGCTCCACGGTCAACACTCTTGGCACCAGCAGTCAGGAAATCAAAAAGCGTATCGCGATGGGGAAGTCTGCTGTTAGGGACCTCTCTAAAATACTCAAGAGCAATGGTGTCTCTCTGGAGACTAAGGAGCGCTCGATACAGGCCATGGTTTTTGCAATCACTTGTTATGCATCAGAGAGTTGGACAATGACTAGGGAGGATAGAAGGAAAATTAATGCCTTTGAGCTGTGGTGCTGGAGAAGAGTATTGAATGTTCCATGGACTGCCAAGAAATCAAACAGATTCATCGTAGAGAGGGTAAACCAGGCTGCTCCTTGGAGGCAAGAATTCTGGGGCTTCGCCTGATATACTTTGGACACGTTGTAAGGAGAGACAGGTCTTTAGAGAGGGACATCATGTTGGGTAGAGGAGAGGGACAGCGCAGGAGGGGAAGACCAGAGTTAGAGTAAGAATGAGAAAAACTGGATGAATTATGTATACTGCATTGAAACCCGTGAGGGTGAGAATAGTTTAAAAGCAATATATTTTAGGGCATTATGATTATCATAAGAGTCTGGAATGAAGTTTGCAGAGTGGAGTATACTCGGGGGTGGGTGTGTGTGTGTGTGTGTGTGTGTGTTTGTATAACAATGAAGGAATTTTTCTTCTACTTTTCAAAGAGAAGAGCAAATGGGGAGGGGGGGAGAAAAGTGCAACAATGAATAAATGGAAATCCATATCTCTGTAAATGTTCATTGAAATGGAAGGAAAGAAGGGAGCGAGGAGGGAGGGAGGAAGAAAAAAGAAAGGTGTAGTAGTGCTTCCAATTGCCAAGCAAAGCAATGGATGTCTGTCAGTAAGGAAACAGATGAACAAATTGTTGTCTATTCATGAAAAGATCTATTACACATTAAAATTAATACTAGACTGAAATAATACAAAACCATAAGATGAAATGTTGAGTTTTTCATGCCCTGATTTCATCTATTTTTTCTGTTTTCACATATTTTATGCAATTATTTTTGTGATATATATCAAGTAGTGGGGAAAGTATCTTACACTATGCATCATTTATTTAAAAAAGAATAGAGTGAAATAAAAAATAATAAATAAAACAAGAACAGAAACTCATTCCCACTGAGTTGATTATAACTCCTACAGTAACTGTACAGGACAAAGAGAACTGCCTCCGAGAATATCCGAACTTGAAATCTTCACAGAAGTAGACAACCAGATGCTATGCAGAGTGACTGATGGGTATGAAGCACCATCCCTTCTTCATTATAAGCCAAACTCCTCACCATCACTCCTAAGATGGGACTACATGTACACCCTAGAGGATTTCATGAAGTATACTAATAAACCTTTTCCTTGTGTTCACTTGTATCATTACTTCTTATCTTTCATTTTATTCCTTCCCCTTGTTTGTCCCATTTCTCCTCTTCTGAGTCTTCCTTTTTTTCTCATCCTTTTTAGACCCCCTCCAAAGTTTATGCTGTTCACAATAAGCTCAGCGACAGTGTCTACAGTGCACAGCTCCAATACAAATTCCAAAATGTCATTCACTTGGTATGGATAAACACTTGCTCCAGGGCTTTCTGATCAACCGGAATCAATAACACCTCAGAATGTCTTTCACTGATCAACAGAGACAAACAGAAATGCACATGCACCATTATACGCTATTACCAGGACCAAAAACCAGAAAATAACAGAGCAAGAACTGCCAAACTAACAAGCTGACTGTCACACATGTCCCACGGAATCAGATTTATCAAATCAAAACACACACACACAAAAAGCAACACATCAATAGTAGTGCTGTTATTTTTAGGTGCTGAGGAGTTGTATCAATTTGTAATAATCTATTGTATAATATAAAAAGTAGGCAGTCCAATCCCCAACAATGCTTAAAATCTTTGCTATGTTAGTTGTTATTAGGCGCCACGGTGTCCCCAAAGAAGCATAAACACCAGATGGGACCTTGCCCCATCCTCTAAATCTCTAACACATTCAAACATTCTGTTATGGTTACTGTGTTAATCTATTTCCTGAAGACTCTTCTTATAATCTGACCCTCTACCTTTCACAGCTTCAAGTGTTTGAAAAGATGAGTTCCTCCTGACAACATGTTCAAAGTATGTGAGTTAAAGTTTCATCGTCCTTATCTCCTTAGAGCATGCAAGTTGAAATTCCTCCAAGATAGATTTCTTTGTTCTTTTGGCAATCTATGAGATTCTTCAATACAATTAAAAAAAGGGTCTCTATTCATTCTCCAACTATCAGGAACATACAAATAACTGAAAATACCTTGTTCTGGATTAGTTCTTAAAATTAGTATCGTTGCTTTTTTAGCACTTAAAAGAGATTGACAGCAAAAAATTGACAGCAGTTTTTACCTAATGGAATCTGTTTTAAGAGTTCTGAATTGCCAATACCAGGGATTCAGACTGTATATCCAAGTAAAATTACATAAATGAAAATGTCAACCACTTCGTCATCTATCACGATACAATCTACTGGTCCAGCCATAAGGATATTTGATTTCCCGATTTTAAGAAGTAATCCATATTGAATGATGAAGTCTTTGAACATCTTCAGTAAGTGATTCAAGTCTTCTTCATTTTCTGAAATCTAGGTTGTATAATCTGCATTATACAAGTTGTTGAGAAGTTGCTGTCAAACAAGCCTATTCCATAGAAGACACTGTAAAAGTCATGTGATTAAAAAAAGTATTTGAGTCTAGGCCTGGAAATCTTTTCTACATCAAATTTTAAGAGTCAATGAAAATATATACTTCTATAATTCTTCAAAGTCACTCGTATATATCCCTTACTATAAACATGCCTAAGAATTACTGATAGCATAGCTGAGATGAGTCCATTACAAGTCCCTCCAATTGGATTGTCAAATTTGTCTTCATATAGTCCATGCTCTTATATTATTTGTTCAGCATACAGATTTAACAGGTATATAGAAAGTATACAATCCTGACCATATCTTTTCTGATTTTAAACCATGTTTCCTTAGTCTATGCAGACATTTTAGTTTGTGCTATGTATAGGTCTCAAAGAGTGTTTTTCTATTCCCATTCGTCTCGTGAGCCACAGACTGTTAGACTGTTATGATCCACAGTCAAATGTGTTTGCATAATTAATAAAACAAAAATAACAACACTTGAGTTGTGCTTTGATAGTTGTTATGTGTCACTTAGAACTTACACACAGCTAACAATCCAGCTGGTTTTAAGGAGCTGTAAATCACTCAAGTGAAGAGTGTTCATCTTGCCCTAATGGAGTGTCTAGTGGATTTGAACCAATGGCTTTTGGTTTGGCAACACAACTCTTTACAAATAAGCCACCAGAAAAAGAATATAATGAATCACTTTTGATAAAGGACAGAAACACTAGAAAGAAACACAACAAAAAAGCAAAAATCTCGAAGAGAGCTCTGGTGGC